CATAAGAGCTGGTAACCTAATACAGGGTTCCTCAACCTTGGCACCCTTAAGACATGTGGCGAATAGCTGGCTGGAGAATTCTGGGAGTTGAAGTCCACCCGTCTTAAAGTTGCCAAGACTGAGGAACCCTGACCTAATATATAGATTAGAAGATTTCTATTGCGAATAAAATTAGCAAAAGACTGTATTTGTCATACTTTTTCTAAGTAGACCTGGCTTTAGAATTAACCATGAAAAAGAGGTATTCACTATCACATTACACTACTTTTTAATTTTTTTGAGTTGTTATGTAGCTTCATAGGTCCTCGCCTTTCAGTAACAACCAACAGAGGTTAATATACATTTTGAAAAGTGAACTTGTAAAAAGCTACTGAAACAGTACCCATAAGAAAAGACAAACACTGTAGCACAGTGCTCAGACTGAAGGAATCCCCAGCAGGCTGGAGCATGAACTTGTTGAACAAAACACATGACAATCTGAGTTAGATACAAAGGGAAATTATTATCTCACACAAAAGAATAAGAGAATTTGGGGGCATTCAATGACACTGAGTAACCTTAAATTCAAACTAACGAACAAGAAAATATATAAACAACATATAATTATATTCTAGAATTCACTACCATGAAGAAAGTAGAGGTTATTAATTTAGATTTTTCTTTAGAAGCATTCTGTGAAATGATGCAGTCTAGATTTATCAATGGCAGAAACCATCTGCTACACTAAACTGTTTCTCAATATCCTGATATTATCTATGAAAAAGAGGTGCTGAAAGCAACCTACAGGCTATATTATTTCATAGATGGTTGGATTTCAAATATATATGCCTGAACCAGTTCAGTTACATTGGTCAATATAGTATATATCATCGAGATTATATTCTGTATACCAAAATATTTATATTCTGTATACAAAAATATTTTCTATGGAATATGAAGCATGACTTAATGTTTGCTTCCCTCATCACTGAAAGGAGCATGCAGGACCAAGCCAGCTGTTTTCAAGAATTTGCTATATAAATATTCAAATGCTGATTCTTCTCAGACTTCTGAAAAGCCTTTCTGCCATACCATTGCAAAAGTAGACATTTTTTAAACTTTTTTACTCATTTCCCTCTAAATTATACAGTGTGTAAGGATTTCATAGAGCAAAACCCTGTTAAGACAGAAAAATAATTTGTTGACATTAACAGTAAGAACATATTTTGGGTTTTCAAATTATGCTGGGGGTTCTTTTAGTATTTGAGTATATAAAAATGACATAATGACATGCGCGCGCACACACACACACACACTAAAGACATTACATTTGAAATTTGGATTCAATATGAGTTGATGCTACTCAAGTAACTTTTGAATGTGATTAGCCACATGAATTAACTGAAAACTGACAGTTAATTTTTTCAACAGGATAGAACAAAGCAAAACAAAACATTAGCTTGAGAAAGGTTATTGTTTACTCACCTTCTCTGCTGACTGTGCTGTTCCAAAAAAGATTGGAATAAAAGCTAACCAAATGATACAGGTGGTATACATGGTAAATCCAATTGGTTTTGCTTCATTGAAGGTCTCTGGAACACCTCTTGTTTTAATAGCATAAACAGTGCATGTTACCATTAAGAGAATACTGTATCCAAGAGAACAAATGAGTGATAGATCCGAGATGTCACATTTGAGAATCCCACGGGCATTTTCAGGATCCACAGTCCTCTGCTCTCCATAATCTACTATGATATGTGGAGGATCTATAGCAAACCATATGAAGACTCCTAGAAGCTGTATGGATATGAGGCTGAAGGTAATCACCAGTTGGGAACCTGGGCTGATGAATTTTGGAGCAGTGACCGATTTTTTCCCTTGCTCAAATATTCGATGGATTCGGTTTGTTTTGGTGAGCAAGGCTGCATAACTGAAGCACATACCAAGTCCTAGGAAGATCCGTCGTAAAGAGCAGATGGCAGTGTCTGGACTTGCAATCATTAAAAAAGTGATAGCATAACAGAGAAAAATCCCAGTCAAGAGGACATAGCTTAGTTCACGCCCTGAGGCCCTGACAATTGGCGTGTCATTGTGGCGGACAAATGTCACAATGACAAAGGTGGTTGCAATGATGCCAAGTATTGCTATGAAGACAGGCACAATCGCCCACGGGGAATGCCACTCCAGTTTGATGATGGGAATGAGTTGGCAGTCTGTGCGGTTGACGTTTGGTCTCTTATCAAAGGGACACATTTCACAGGTGACCTCATCCACTTGGTAGTGATAGCCTTCACAGCGCTCACAATGCCAACAGCAAGCTACTCCCTTAACCATCTTCTTCCTTTCTCCAGGTTTGCAGGGCAAACTACAGACAGAAGCAGGGTGAGTTCGTTCTTTGTTATCCCACTGCATGTCTTCTACCTATGGTTATATATATTAAGAAAAAAAAATTAATGAGCCTTTCATCTTCTCCTATTTATAATATCCTAATCTTGGCCACACGTTTCTCATAAATCACCTTGTGCTGACAGTACAAACACAGTTTATCTTGATAACAAACCCTTTTTTCCCTCTGATACTGATTTTATGAAACTGTTAAATGATTGGGCCCAATAAATCATTTGTGCCACGAGTTTGATGAGTGTCATTAGTTTCTATTTACCTCTTTACTGCTGACCAAATTGATGCCTGTGAAAAGATTTATCGACTCTTAAGCTCTAGTCTGAAGCAAAGGCATCCTATAAAAAGGAATTTATGAGCTAATCACGTGCAAATATAGTTCTCAAACATTTAATTAGAAAATAATGGCATGTGGGTTTGGAATTAATTTATATTATAATGTAAGGATAGAGTAAACATCCCACTGCACTGATCTAGGAGAGAGCAAGAAGTTTTCTTTTTGAGAAGTAAAATTATGAAGCAAGGGAATATTTTATTTTATTTTTACCTTTTGGACCTGTTTTCGGTATCAGTATCGGTACACTTGGGTTGGTATCTTCTACCATCTACAGAATTGTTTGTTTACCATATTTGTTTTCTCTCTCATCAAATTACTCTGGGTGGCTCACAACAAAACAATGACACACAATAAAAGCTTAAACATCAACCCACTACAGTCAAATAAAGTAGCATCTCTGATCATTCACCTCATTGATTCACTAATTACCACCAGTCCTATCACTCCTCTCTAAAGCTCTCTGGAAAAACATTGTTTTTACTGCTCTGAATTAATAGTAAGGAAGAGGGAAGTTGTTCCCATGCAAGAGGGTAGGACTGAGAAAGCTTGCTTCTCGATTCCCTCCCTTTAAAGATCTTGGGTGAAGAGAGGAATCCTCAGCAGTCTCTCTTGGCCTACACGTATCAGGGAGGCTGAGTCTTCCTACAGCAGGCAGTCCTTGAAGGCCATATTATAAAGGACTTTATAAGTGATAAAGAGAACTTTGAATGACAGGTAGTCCCCAGGTTAAGAACGCCCAGTTTACGGATGACCCATAGTTAAACGCAGAGCCTATTGTAGCAAAATTTGAATTAAATACACAATGGTTTGAGTTAATTACACAATACTACTTGGAATTATAAAATAATACTGTTCCAGCTTACATACAAATTCAACTTAAGGACAGATCTTGGGAATGGAATTCATTCTTGAACAGGGACTACCTGTATATCTTGAAATGTATCAGTACCCAATGCATAGCTTTAGAAGGTTAGATGGCCTTTTGAGTTCCGATGGGCTTTTGACTTTAGTACACAGTAATTTTTTGTGGGGATCTCCGTGATCAAGTGATCTTTTCAAGAGAAGGGTCCTGAGAATCCTGTACTATAGTGATATCAGCAAACTTCACATGAGTCCATCCATCCATGTTTAGACTACATCCCTCATAATTTCTGTCCATTCACGATGCAGCTATGACTGATCAGACTGGAATTCAAAGTATTTGGAAAGTCCCTGTTTGGGAAAGTTTGTGTTAATGTTATATGAGAGAAGAAGGGGAAGAACCAATAGAAATTACCAGACATGAAGCTCATTGAGTGCCTCCTTTTAATTACAGAGTGGTTTGGAAAATAAAATGGAAATGGAGAAAACTATACACAGCATTCTATCTTAAACTTCTTGGAGGTAAAGTGATATAAATAAAGTAAACATTTAAATCATGTTATAGAAATATAACAAATATATAGTAATAGCAGACAACTTTTCCTCAAAGATTAATTAATCTACTGTTTTACGTTGGCAACCACAGTGGAGACAAGGGAGTTTGTCAAATGACAAAAGAACTTCGCCTCTTTTGTAGATGCATTGTGACAAACAAATATACATAAGGGGTGGAGCATGTGTTGCAATGTCACACTTGTTTTGTTGTTTTGATGAAACGGTCCGATTCTGCAGACTTCTCTGATTACTTATTTCCTGCAGCACAACCACAGAATGTGATTTGTCCTCTAGACCTCATTCTTATTCATTGCTTTGTTTGTGGGAGTCAACCAGTGTTAAAAAGTATTGTGCTACCCGTCCCCAAAAAATCAGATTTATAGCTCAGAGATTGTCTTTGATATTTCTGATGCATTATTTCTGTATTTTAAATGGTGGTGGAGGCATAGAATGTATCAGTTATGATCTGTTCTGAGTTGGTCTGATTTGGCAACAGTGAGTTTGTTATATCACATTTAGACTACTGCAATCCACTCACAGTATTACTGTACTTGGATACCATTTGGAAGCTCCAATTGGTATAGTATCTACTGTAAAGTGAATATGTATTGATCTGTAAGATACCCTTTACAGACACTACAATGTGCAGAAAACTGCAATTTAACTGCTAGTTATGACTAGCCCCCAAATATAAATACTTTTAAAAAGCATCAAGATATATCTCTTTAAATCATACTTTATTTTTTTATTATTTTAATATAACTTCGTTTATGCTTTTTTAATTACTGCTTTGATAGTTTTTAGCAGAAAGATGATTTATTTAAAAAACCAAAAATAAATTAGGGATGGGAAACACGTCCTATTCAAGGTGTTGCTGAACTACATTTTCAATGTGCTATAGCCAACACGTTCAGTGGGAGCTATACTTTGGCAACATCTCAAGGATTACACATCCTTTATTTATTTCAGGTTCACAGATAAATCACATGGGACAAACCCTAGTGTGCCCAAGAAACCTCTCTATCAGTAAAAGGGGGAGACGTTTGAAATATCACGTTTCTTGGTGAATATGAATGGGCAGCTTAGTCTGAGTCAATAAAGATCTTCTAAAAGAGGTAGAGCAATGTTCTTCAAACATAAAGTATGCATATTTAATTTAATGACTTCATTCACAAGTAAATACACATCTAATTTCACCTGTACTTTATCAAACTTGAAAATACTATAGGTAGAGATGGGTGAGTCATTCAACAAAATTGAAAAAGAACTCAGTTTTTGGCCCAATCCAGGATCAAACCAGCACCAAAACCCAAAACAGCATTTTGCATCTAGAAGAGATAAGCCCTGGCTGTGATAGCTAGGAATCACAGTACAGGTAGTCCTCACTTAACAACCACAATAGGAACCAGAAAATTTGTTGTTTAGTGGGTGGTTGTTAAGCGAGTCGCACCTGATTTTATGACCTTTTTTGCAGCAGTCATTAAATGAATCACCACAGCAGTTAAGTGAATCACATGGTTCCCTATTAATTTTGCTTCCTGGAAGCCAGCTGGGAAGGTCACAAATGGTGATCACATGACCCTGGGACTCTGCAACCATCATAATGGTAAGCAGGTTGCCAAGCACACAGATCACAATCATGTGACTACAGGGGTGCTTCAATGATCGTAAGTATGAGGATCAGTTGTAAGTCCCTTTGTTCAGCACCATTGTAACTTTGAACGGTCACTAAATGAATGGGTAAGTGAGGACTACCTGTATCACAATCTAACAATCAAGTAGGCAAACCACTGTTAGTACCAATGTTGTTTTTTCAAACAACATGGGAAACTTCACCTGACTGTACAAAGGCATCCTTCTGCTGAGCTGCACCAGGCCACTTTGTAGTTAAAAAATCTTATGAAAGCAATTTAAGAGTAACCCACCACAAAAGATCAATTTCCCTCAAGGATGGGCTCAATAGTGGGATCTTGTTCTCCCTTTAGAGCACTTGAGGGGCCAGTTCACCTAATTAATTATATTCCATCAAACAATTATTTTATTGTTTTGGGAAAACAATAATAAGAAAGTAGCCAAGGGATGGTAGGAAATGAATAGACAAGAAATTGCAGAACAATAGGATGCCTATTAATCCTTCATTTTTAAGGGTACGAAACAATGTCCATTCTCTCTATTAGCATAATGGTTTCTGATTAGACCCCAAGTCTTCAGAATTTTATTTAAAAGCATCTCCATTACAATCTAATGTAATTCTATATATGTACCAATAACATTTTCTAGAATCTTAATAGCTGAGTAATTAACCAAGTAATTATCCTTCAGAAAACTTTAGGGACTTGACATAAGCAAAATAGCCATATTGCAAAAGCCTGTTTGAAAGTTTAAAGCAGGGTTTTTCAACCTTGGCAACTTTAAGATGTGTGGACCTCAATTCCCAGAATTCCCCAGCCAGTAAAGTGATATGATATGATATGATATGATAATATAATA